TGAAACCACTGCATTCTACTACTATTCTTAGTTTCACGATGCTTTTATATCAAACTATGCTGATTCATCAGTGCTTTACCATCTCCGAGATTGGAAAAGACCTAAGCAAGAACCTAGATCTGCCATTATTATTACTGATGTCCATATCAAATCAAATCAAACCAAATAATTATTTTTTTAACATATAGAAAGTACATACTTGTTGAACGTCAAAAAGAACTACCGCCAATTCACACAAACTAGCCTCCGTCCTGAGAAGAACTGGCCAGAAACTCTACGGGCATGTCTTTTTTTTTAAATATTGGTTTTTTTTTGAATATCGTTTTTTTTACAATGAGTATTATAGCGTAACAATTATTGCAATATTGAAATACCCGGAGCGAGCAACTCATTCCCACTTTGTGCAATCTTCTAGATAATCATTGAATCTATATACCTATAAGAAACCTATACTACATCGCGGGCTGCAAAGTCGCCTAGAAAATTAAAAAAGGCATCCCGAATTCCCACCGATAGATATTAATATAAAATAACATTGCCGGCATTTCTTTTCGCCGTTCGCGAAAACGAATTCGATAGCATAAAATATAAGCTGTCGATATTCGTTACTCGCATCACTAGTTACACGGATCTATTGCGACTAGAATGAGCCTTCCGTACAAATGTGCACTTAACAATATGGGGTTATTGAAGACATACTTTAGTTACATTATGGAAATTTTAGGCTAACTAAGCTGTTTCTTTTTTTAATCTGGAAGACGTGACTGTTTCACGGCTTACCCGTGGTTGTTATTCGCTCTACTTTAAGTAATAAATTTATGGTTAAAAAAGTTATTTTCTTTTTGCCTTTTTTCATCTCATTTCTTTGATATTCACTATGCTATAAACTACACTATGCTATGCACTATTTATAGACAGTTACGTTTTAGGTATTTGGAACTAATAGACACACTTTGTGTCAATTCAAAAAGATCTGACTTGTATAAGGACATTGCCAACATAAGCCACCATAACATAAATCCCTTCCAGTATCCTAAGCATCCATGTTTTCAGCTTCGTCCAGTCCCAATAAAGAATTGACATTGACACGACCCTCGCGGGATTTCATGATGTCCTTGCAAAAATTTTTGGTTAGAGCCCCCACTCTCGTCCATGATACATTTGACGATTATTTGGCCGCAAATTGCTTTTCATTGGCTGCTTATCGTGTGGTCTTTTTGTTGAGTATATTTTAGGATCTGTGCACTACTCTGTGGCTATATATGTTAGTCTATAATTTAGTTTAGTTAGTCTATAATGTGTTATTACAAAATGAATCTATGTCACTTCACTTCCCTTCCGCTCTGCTAATAAAATGGTGCCCGTACTTTTGTGTAATAATTTGCCAAGAGAAATCCAATACGCTTCCACTGCGCAACGACCGCCACTTGGAGTTTTGAAGAATTGATTTAACGAAGAAGAAATATAATAATAACAATAAGAGCGAAAAGTCAAGAGGAAGACAAAAAATACAAGAAAAATTACTCGGTACTAAAATGGCGGNATACATATTTAATTGTTTAGCATTATTATTATCTTAAGAGAATTAACTAGATAACTGTTAATTTAGTAAATATTTTAATGTAACTAATATTGAAAGAAAAAGAAAAAAGGTATTTATGATAAATAGTGTTAGTAATGCACAGAGTGGACAGTTAACAAAATTTGTAATTCATTAAACTTATATTTTGTTTGAACAATTTAAGCAGTTGTAAACTTCTATAAATTGAGGGGGTGTGTTGAGTATATTTTAGGATCTGTGCACTACTCTGTGGCTATATATGTTAGTCTATAATTTAGTTTAGTTAGTCTATAATGTGTTATTACAAAATGAATCTATGTCACTTCACTTCCCTTCCGCTCTGCTAATAAAATGGTGCCCGTACTTTTGTGTAATAATTTGCCAAGAGAAATCCAATACTTTTAAATCGAGGCCATATGAATATATACGTTATTTATTTCTCTTTCAAAATTAATGGTTTTTTTTTACTTTTTTATTGTTTAGGTGGGTTGACGAGCCCTCAGTCCACCTGGTGCTAACCGGAGCCCATAGACATATACAACGTAAATACCGCCACCTACCTTGAGATATGAGTTCTAAGGTCTCAGTATAGTTACAACGGCTGCCCCACCCTTCAAACCGAAACACATTACTGCTTCCCGGCAGAAATAGGCAGGGTGATGGTACCTACCCGTGCGGACTCACAAGATGTCTTACCAATAAATTGTAATAAATAGGTGAACCTACTCATGCCCCATCTGATGTTAAATGACTGCTGAGCCTCATATACGTATGTATGTACTAATTCAAGATAAAAATGGGCAGAATTGTGGTAACTAGCTGTGTTAACTCAGACTGCGCCGTAACAATATCAGCTTAGTTTGTTGATTTGAGTTTTTGTCTTCATGTTTCAGCGTAGCGCATTACCATCATGCCAATCAAGGTGCGTAGCGATATTTACTTTCTTTTTTATTGCCCTTGTAGGCATATGAACATACGGCCCACCTGAAGGTGAGTGGTTACCGTCGCCCATGGACTTCATCATCATCATCATCATCATCAACAGCCCACAGTCGTCCACTGCTGAACATAGGCCTCTCCCAATATACACTACTGAGCCCGGTCTGCGGCTCTCCTCATCCACTTCTTGCCGGTCACCTTGCGGAGGTCATCGCACCATCTAGCCAGGGGGCGTCCCACGTTAGCAATGCTAAGAGCAGAGCCAAGCCGCTGCCTACCGTATACTATTATCACTTCTATACTATTACTAGCTGACCCGGCAAACGTTGTTTTGCCATATATAAGATTTCTAGGGAATTCCTAGTGTAGAAAAAAAAAAGAAACTTATTGTAAATGTGTAAGAATGTGGTAAATGAGTGAAAGAGGCATGTAGCGCTGTGAACGATGAGGGAATATAAAAATAACAAAACCTCATTCAACAACATAACGCCTCACTACAAAAAAAAAAAAAAAATTGATAACCCCATCACTAACATTACCATGAACATACCAACAACCATTAACATTGTGACAAGAAAATTTTATATATAAGATAAATATATTTTGTACTTATAAGCTATAGCCGCTTAGCACCAGCTAAACAATTCAAATTGCTGAGAGATCTGATAGGTTCATTTACAAGACATATCCTGGCTCTTCCTAGTCGCTTTTGTTTCTATCTAGGAGCTCTAGCATTTCTATATTTAGGAACTTTTGTATATACTAGAGGTCCCGCAGTAGTCGAAATTCGACTATAATTAATTGGAATTGTAAGTTTGTACACTATTATGATTGTATTTTATACTTTCCTAATCCCAAAATTCGCCAAGACTACACTATAAAAAATATAAACCAAGACAAACAATATTTAATGTATTCTCAATTTGACAACAGACGTCAAGAACAAAAGTTTGACAATAAATAGTATGCATGCGTGTGTGCGTCAACTACATGGTATGTAAGTGTGTGTAATGTTTTCTTTATTGATTTAATGTATCTCTTATGCATTATTTAAAAAAAAAATTAACATTGTGCACTTCTTCTCTATATTCTCTATAAGTGTGGAAAATTTCATACTCCTCCGTCCGCGCAATTTTCGTTAAAAGGGATACAAAGTTTTTGCTTCACGTATTATAATATATAGATTTGCAATAAGTAAAATATATTCATATACAAATAATACCAAAAAAATCCAATACCCTCACTGGGCTTTCATTGATTTTATTTATTGCATCGGAAAGCTCGATTTAATGCTAGCTTTTAATTTCATCGGTTCCTAGGTGTTATTGGGTCGGCGTTTTTTTATTTTTTATTTGTGCAAAATGGAAGCGAATGCTGGAGCTATTCAAGTACGAATGAAAAAGTTGGCAGAATTATTCGCTTTTGAGGGTAGAATTATTCTATTGGATCTTTTTTACACCGAGAATCACTGGAATCATGCATATTCTCGCGTAGTTACTATGATACATAAATATATATCTGTGTATATATGTAATGTATGTATATGGCAAATTTTAAATGTTCACGATTGACTTCCACGGTGAAGGAATAACATCGTGTAATAAAAATCAAACCCGCAAAATTATAATTTGCATAATTACTGGTGGTAGGACCTCTTGTGAGTCCGCATGGGTAGGTACCACCGCCCTGCCTATTTCTGCCGTGAAGCAGTAATGCGTTTCGGTTTGAAAGGTGGGGCAGCCGTTGTGACAATACTGAGACCTTAGAACTATATCTCAAGGTGTGTGGCGCATTTACGTTGTAGATGTCTATGGGCTCCAGTAACCACTTAAGACCATGTGGGCTGTGAGCTCATCCAAACATCTAAGTATTAAAAAAAAAAAAATTCATAATAATAGGTTGGGAAAAGTTTATTTGCCTTTTTTAACGCAAATTTGTATGTAGTTGGGACAATCTACAATGTGAATGCGCCACTCACCTTGAGATATAAGTTCTAACGTCTCAGTATAGTTACAACGGTTGCCCTACCCTTCAAACCGAAACACATTAATGCTTCACGGCAGAAACAGACAAGGTGGTGGTACCTACCCGTGCGGACTCACAAGGTCCTACCACCAGTAAGTTAATTATTTACAATTATAGTCAATGGTCAATAAGTTAGAGGAAGTCTGAAAGTGGCACCTGTGACAGAGAAGCTGAGAAGTGCGAGTTTGGGATGGTATGAACATGTGATGAGACGAAATGAAAATGAGGTTGGTAAGAGAGCGTTAACTATGAATGTGAAAGGATATAGAGGAAGAGGTAGACCTAAGAAGAAATGGATGGATTGCGTGAAAGACGATATGGGTAAGAGGGGAGTGAGGGAAGAAATGGTATATGATAGAAGAGTATGGAAGAAGAAAACATGTTGCGCCGACTCCCGGTGACTGGGAAAAGGGCAGGATAATGATGATGATGAGTCAATAGTCAATAGCTTACAATTAAAATTAAAATAGTCTACCTTTATCTCCTTTCAGCTCCACGTTTCCTCTGTACCAAACGATCTTCGCTGGGGGCTTGGCATTCTTCACGAAGCATTCCAAGGACACGTCCTCGCCTTCCTTGACCTCCAGCTTCGAGTTCGGGGGATGATTGGTGATCTCTACCGATTTAGGGGGGGCTGTGGACAAAAATTAATCAGTCAGTACGTGCTTCTGTTATTCCTAGACACAATTAAAACTATTAAAATGGTTTAATCTTAGTTTTTAGGTGTTAGGAAGGTTTGTGAGTCTGTATGGGTGGGTATCACCACTCTGCCTATTTCTGCCGTGAAGCAGTAATGCGTTTCGGTTTGTAGGGTGGGGCAGTCGTTGTACTGTACAAACTGCGAGCTTAGAACTCATGTTTAAGGTGGTTGGCGGCATTTGTAGATGTCTATAGGCTCCGGTAACCACTTAACACCAGATGAGCCGTGAGCTTGTACACCCATCTAAGCCATAAAAACCAGTTTTTGTGATCACAGACGACTGTCTGGTCCCTAAGCAGAAAGTTAGTAAATTGAATTGTAAATGATTTATTTTAAGACATTTGCTAATAAACATTAACTCTTAAATTAAGTATCCAGATTCATATGATATTCATCCAGAAGTAATATTGGAAAAATCTAATTCGGTTCAATTATTGAGATTTTACAAACAAATAATATCATATTTGTTTAAATAACAAACCGTGTTTTCATTATTCAATCATAATTATGATAAATGAATTTAATAATCCTGAATTGAATAAACAAATAACAGGAAATACTTTAATACGACATTGCACAGTACAATAATTTTTTTCATATAATAGGATACTTTTGGTCCGAGCTTAATATTTAATTTACGGCCTCGAAAGCTCACCCGAGTAAAAACTGAAAGCAATAAATTAACATTTTTCGTTAAAAATACCTGTTAAAGCACATTAAAATAAGCTTTGTGGACAGTTGAAAAATTAAGCTCTAAATTGAGCCTTTACGATTATGAATTTTACGAATTTTATTGTAGGCTTATAACTTGAAGGTACATAAATATATCTTAGAGGGCATTCACATTGTTTTTACATTAAAACTTTTAGTTGGGTGGGGGGACGAGCTAATGGACCATCTGGTGTTAAGTGGTTACCGGAGCCCACATCAACAACGTAAGCGACGTATATAGTTTCAGTAGCCACTTAACACTAAGTGTGCTGGAAGATCAACTATCTAACCGCGGCAGACCCACAATTAGAATCGATACTATCTATCTAATTAATCAACAGCACTATCTGGTTTTTTTTTTCATATGAAGTCCCTACTAGGATTATTCCATATCAAGATAATACTAGGATTATAGAGCTTAATAAATCTGTAGAATTCCGAAACGCACGGTGTGCTGGTATAATTGTACCAATATTTTTGTGGCCTTGTTTCTTTCTTGCTTCGATGGGTGACCGCGATCACGGACTACCAGGTATTATACCAAAACTTGAAGGCATCACAACATAAATGTGGACATCTGCATCGTTCGAGAGATGAGATGAGATCTTAATTGTAGTGGTTGTGCCACTCTTCAATCTGGAACTCATGACTGATTCGCGGCAGAAATAGGAATTTATTCGCCCCATCACTATTACACGCCGATTGACGATCGGAGTACTTGGGTATAATACTCAGAGAACGGATTAACACAGCCCAGTGAGTTTCTCGCCGGATCTTCTCAGTGGGTAGCGTTTTCGATCCGGTGGTAGATTCTGCGAAGTACTGCTCTTGCTAGGGCCAGTTTTAGCAACACTCCGGTTTGAGCACCATGAGCTCACCTACTAGTTAAGGTTACGCTGAAATAGCCTCTCAAGGCTATCAGATTAATAACGAAAAAAAAAAAGAACGCTGCTGTTCATTCTCCGGTGTATCTCTAAATACCAACAGGAAGAGATGCGGTGGGGCTATTCTAGGTCACACAGGCAGATAGACACTATACAGCTAATGTTGTAAAAACCCCCATCTGCCCACAAAGGCAAAAAAAAAATATTTTTTTTGCCTTTGTGGGCAGATGAGCATATGGTCCACCTGATGGTAAATAGTTACCGTCGCGCATGGGCGTCAGTAAGCCAAGCCGCTGCCCACCACTGAGTGCTCTCCACAAGCCTCGTTAGAAGAAGGAATTTGAATTGGAAGGAAGAACGTCTCCTCTACTCGTGTCCCAAACTCATTCTCTTGTACTTCGAAAAATATCTAAACTACACGAAATTTAGGATAACAATTAGCTTGCGAGAGAATCATCGTATAACAAGACGAACCACAACAAATTTGCCTACAGAGAAAATGAGTTTCGAGTTAGGCTCGAGTTGTAGGCGGAAGCGGGGTCCAATTGGGCGATTTGAAGCGTGCGTGGTACAAGTGCTTTGAAGTCATCGTGGCTTAAAGGATAAGACGTCCGGTGCATTCGTATCGAACGATGCAACGGTGATCGAATCCTGCAGGTGGATACCAATTTTTCTATGAAATACGTACATATTAACAAAAGTTCACGATTGACTTCCACGGTGAACGAATAACATCGTGTGATAAAAGTCAATCCCGCAAAATTATAATTTGCGTAATTACTGGTGGTAGGACCTCTTGTGAGTCCGCACGGGTAGGTCTGCCTATTTCTGCTGTGAAGTAGTAATGCATTTCGGTTTGACGGGTGGGGCAGCCGTTCTAACTATACTGAGACCTTAGAATTTATATCTCAAGGTGGTTGGCGCATTTAAGTTAAAGATGTCTATGGGCTCCAGTAACCACTTGACACCAGGTGGGCTGTGAGATCGTCCAGCCATATAAGCATTAAAAATAAATAAATAAAACACTGGTTAATATACACCCGACGGAGTCTCATTGAGGAACGCGAAATTGAAGGAATACAAATTAAAATGAGCCGTTTACTTTTACTAGCCTTCAAGATTTCCATGTCCTGATGACATAATGCGATTTTGAGCTATCCCACTTTCTTCCACTAACAAAGAGTCCTATTTCCATTGAAAATCCTCTAACATTTCAGTACTCTTAAGAAGTATAGAAGACGGGAAGAAGTTGTTCAAAATACAGCAAAATACAGCAGTTTAAAATGCTTTGACGTCAAGGCTCTTGTAACTTAAGCCCTCAAGGTAACAGGATATTGCCGTCTAGTCCCTACTCGCTTGCTTGCCATTCTACAAAGGCCGGCGTCTGAGGTCATTGTTTGTGGATGCTTAATACGTAACTCTACACAATTTCGGACCCCAAATATCCATACTTAATATTCTAAATGTGGAAGGCAATTTGTTCGTTTGTCACGGGTTTTTTTTTTCTTAAATACTCACCCGAACTTCATGACATTTGTGAATGCGTTATCTGAGGTACACAATAGAACTTAGAATACCTTTTATCTACATTAAAATGAGCGAAACCTCATGTAAAAGGTACTAACAATATAAATAAATGGACCAAAATTTTCGCACTTATCTTTTCAAACTTGATACTCTTTGATATTGGAGTACTGATATATTCACAACTCCTAATCATGTAAATTCATTCCATTAACTTTTATGAGGTAATTCTCAGGTGGTTCACCTAACTTGGGAAAAAAAGCCGAACATGTTTTCGTGAAAGCCCAAACCACTATTCCATGAACGTCGCTTTTAGGTCGTGCTTTTTTAAGGGGTAGGGGAATCATTGGTGATCCCGAGTCCTTTCCAATTTCACCAGAACAGTTGAGTGAATTTCCGGAGCGCCTCCGAAGGAGACCTAATAGCTCAGGGACATCTTTTTTTATTGCTCTTGTAGGCAGACGAGCATACGGCCCACCTGATGGTGAGTGGTTACCGTCGCCCATGGACTGCAGCAATGTCAGGGGCAGAGTCAAGCCGCTGCCTACCGTAAAGTGGCTCCAGGTAGCATGGATGAACTCTACTCCGGTGGCGGGCGGTGCGATGGTAAAAACGAGATGATGGACATCTATTTTGCGAGCACATCAGCAAATCCAGTAGCGCAGACCAGCTTCTGCCTAATACGAATTCTTGTCAAAGAACAAGTCACACGGATGGAATTCATTTCAGAGCCGGTAAGTGGCTATGTTCGTATAGATGCTACCGTTACCGAAATCAAGGATTTTCCCAAAAAAATCCTCAGTGCACCACACAAAACGCACGAATCAGTAATCTCCTGATACACAAAGTCAGATATCCATCACTTATCGGATACCATAGACATTCCATCATCATTATCATCNGTCAAAGAACAAGTCACACGGATGGAATTCATTTCAGAGCCGGTAAGTGGCTATGTTCGTATAGATGCTACCGTTACCGAAATCAAGGATTTTCCCAAAAAAATCCTCAGTGCACCACACAAAACGCACGAATCAGTAATCTCCTGATACACAAAGTCAGATATCCATCACTTATCGGATACCATAGACATTCCATCATCATTATCATCATCATTATCTTAGGCCTTACATCCAAGGGTGGGCCTTAGCCTGGTCCAATCTTGCTCAGGGCTTTCTCCTTCCAGTTCTTGACACCGATAACTTTGAGGTCGCGCTGCACGCCATCCGACCATCGGAGTTTGGGTCTGCCATGACCTCTGCGGCCCTCTAGTTTGCCATAGAGCAGTTGTCTTGGCATTCTGGTAGTATAGACATTCCATGATTAACCTAAATTTAGACAGAGGAAGACGAATCATCCTATAGTAGTATTATAACCTACTCGTCAAATACGACCGCAATAAAAATTATCCTGAACTTGCTATAAAGCCTATCTGATTGCGATTTAGTGACAAAAACATTCTGAAAACCGAGTTACATAGTATATAACGAATAAACACATAATTTCGGTATCTCAATAGGAAGAAACGAGAGCCCGATGTGCCGGTGCCATATTTTATAAAGCCCGGGGGGCAATTGTGCGGTTGCCATGACGACGCCGAGACCGCCGCTATCATCTTACACAAAGACTTTCTACGTCATATGTTTTCTTCTATTTGCGCCGTAAATATTCTTAGGAAATATTAAACATCAGCGTCAAATGACGTACATTGCGTAAACAAGGTATACAAGTATACGGATGTGTCAATAACAATATTAATATACTATTCCTTGGTGGGTGTCAGACGGAGAAAGCGTTTATCTCACGTGGCCACTG